ATCTACAACTAATTACGTATGGTGCTAACTTGACTAACTCGTTGTTTGATGGTAGGGATGGCATCCATTCCCATGATTGTATCCTTGTACTAGACAAAAACTTTTTAGATACTGCCTAATTAAGTTTAAAATAATAATAAATTAATAAATTTTAATAAAAATAAAATTATAATTTAATCAATTAAACAAAATTAACCTAACTAACTAATTAATCATAAATCAAACCAACTTAATTAATTCTAATTCTAACCAAATTAAATTCAAAATAACAACAAATTAATAATTTATACCGTAAATAAAATTATAATTCAACCAATTAAGCAAAATTAACCTAATTAATTATAAATCAAATCAACTTAATTAATTATAATCTAAAAAATTTTAATTAAAATAAAAATTAATTAAAAATCTCTAATATAAATAAAGTTAAAATTCAACAAATTAAACAAAATTAACCTAACTAATTAATTAATTAAATATAAATCAAATTAACTTAATTAATTCTAATTTTGACCAAAGTAAATTTAAAATAAAAATTAAGTAATAATTTCTAATATAAATAAAATTAAAATTCAACCAATTAAAAAAATAACCTAATTAATTAATTAAAAATAAATAAAATAAATAATTAAGTTTAAAATAATAATTAATTTCCAATTTCTAATATAAATAAAATTCAAATTCAACCAATTAAAAAAATTAACGCAATTAATTAATTAAAAATAAATCAAATTAAATTAATTAAGTTTAAAATAACAACTAATTACTAAGTTCCAATATAAATAAAATTAAAATTCAATCAATTAAACAAAATTAACCTAATTGATTAATTAAATATAAATCAAATTAACTTAATTAATTCTAACTTTACAAAATTAAATATAAAATAACAATTAATTAACAATTTTGAATATAAATAAAATTAAAATTCAACCAATTAACCTAATTAATGAAATGAATTAATTAACAATCAATTACGATTAAATTTAAATAATAATTAATTAACAAATTTACCTAAAAATTAACAAAATTTAACAACTTAACAAATTAATCTAAAAATTAAAAATTTAACAAATAAATCAAAAAAATAATTAAATATATATAAAATTATAAATCAAACAATTAAACTTAAAGTTAACCTAACAATTACAACAAATTATTAACTTTAATTAAGAAAATAAAAGAGAGAAAAAACTTACCTAATTCGGGTGGAATTACACCAAGAGAAGGAAAGGAAAAAAGAGTTATTTTTTAAGAAAAAAGAGCTTGGAGTGGGTGTGGATTGATTGAAAGTGGAAGAGTGGAGCTTGATGGAGGTTTGGAAGGGGAGATGCGGCGGCTTGTTGGAGAAGGAGAGGAAGAAGAAAATGGGAGATGAAGTAGAAAAAAGGGATTTAATTAGGAATTGAAAAATAACGACGGATGCGATCTTTTCGTTGATCTATATAACGACGGACTTTCCATGTAAAGTTGGCGGCCAACTAATTAAAGTTGGTGACCCATTGTTGAGATATATCAATAGACGTAAGTGTACGTATCCATTGCTAATCCGTCTCTAATTTGGTTGTTTTGACTTTCAAAAAGTCTCGCCTAATTTTTCACCTTTAGCGACGGACTTTTCCGTCGCTAATTTGAGAGAGATATTTATTTTAACAACGAATATTCCATCGCTAAATTCATACATTGAAAATAGCGACGGATAAGAAATTCTATCGCTATATTTCCTAACAAATCCATTACCAAATCGTCTCTAAAACTCTCAAAAATATTTGCCACCAACTTTAACGATAGATTAGCATTCATTGCTAACAAATCGTCACTAATCCATTGTTATTCGGTTGCTTGGTTTCAACGAGTTGTTATTCTATCACTATTTGCTTATTGTTTAGCGATGAAAGTTTATCCGTCGTTATTTGATAGTTTTTTGTAGTGTAATATCAACTTCACTCGTTTAGTTTTGATCAATTTTGGTTTTTTTTTTTAATATTCTTTATTAATTTTTTTAATATATATTTTTAACTAGTAATTAAGGACATTTTGGGTAGAAAAAAGAAAAAAGAGATGTGTCGAATTTTCAAACGTTTGGATGATCTACGTAATTTTCTATTATCTCAAGAGGTTTATTATAATTTATCCAAATAAAATCTATATCCAATCAATTAAAATATTGTCGCACAATTTTTTGTTAGTAGATTTCTTTTCTTAACAATAAAATTATTTTTATACTAACTTTCGCATACTGAAACTAAGTTCCTCTCGTATTAAGCCTTAAGTAAATTATTTACGCTAATTATGAGGAAAATACTTATTGTAATTACTTTGATTAAATTATATACAAGCTCAAAAGAAGACAGTTGGAGCACATTTGAACTTGTGCATCTCTGATCTAGCCAGCTACTGCCTCCTGCATCTGCTTTTCACTCGTACTTTTTGTCGCTTCTTATAAAGTTTCCATATATATTCACAAGGTTAATTGTGCTTAATTTGTGAAGCTTTAAATATTTATTGTTGATTCATGCACTTCCATCTGCCTTCATTCTTGTCATTGAATTGCAAGTAAATCTCAAGAGTCAGATGCTAGAAATCGTTGGGATGGAACTCGTTGGCATGATTAATTACTCACTTTTTGTTATTTCTTTTGTCGTTGTTGTAGCTTCCATGATTAATTGTTGTGTTGCTTGTGACCCCAAGTCCGAAGTTTATCACCCTTTGGAATTTGTTGCAAATTACGAAAAACTGTTTTCGCATTACCAACTTATCTTTGGCCCTTACAAATCTGCCAAATTCTATGTGAAAATCGCTTAGGCTTCTACCAAAGGCATTTGTGTTGTCTTATTTTGATTAGAGGATAATGGTTTATGTTATCAATTCTTGGATCCGTGGCCGATGCATATGTCTGCCTGCCTGCCTTGTTAATCAAGCTGTACAGCTTGTGAGTTGTGAGCATTTGACAACGTTCCAATTAAGGTTATCAACAAATTGAATTTGCACCAAATCATATATATATATATATATATATATATATATATATATATATATATATATATATATATATATATATATACTTTAAGTGTAACTTGATTGGCATGAAATAAAATCTTGGTGTTTTATAAATAACAAACTTGAAAATAGACAAAAATTCAGATTGAATTGCAATTTTAAAAATTAGAAACACAAGTATATATAATACTAGTAACAACTTATTAATTAATTTTTTTTTCATATCTTTATAGATTTTTTCACAAAATTAAATTGAAGTTTGAAAAATAATGGAAAAAAAAAACCTTAACCTGTAAGTGTTTGAAAGAATAGCCGTAAAAAAGGGGAAAAAAAAGAATTATAAAACGTTTCTTAACATTTAGAGTAAGTAAACCCTAAATCTGAACATAGTAACATATTTTTTTCTTATTTTTTATGTTTTGAAAATATTATATTTATTATAAATAATATTAATATTAATTTCAGATCAAAGCAAGTTGATATAGATCCATATTTGATCCATTTAATAAATAAGTTAATATATTCATATTATAATCGGATTAAGATCATAATATTTTTATACTAGATTTTTTAATTATATTGAAATCGGATCAAATTCTTATCAACATCGAATCCATTATCGATGGTATGTTGAGTTGATCATTTTGTTTGTTTATAACGTCCTTATTGCCCTTATATGGTTACGTCATTCAATTAGCATCTTTCTAGTCGCTAAAGAATTTCTACTTAGTAAAATTGTAGTTCACTTTCTTTTCTTTGGTTTAATTAGTTAAAAAAAATGTCAAGTACTGTAAATGAGAAGACAAGAACACTAGGTAGCCGCTTATTCTTGCTTCCTCATGAATGAAAAAACGACGATCGCTAATATTTAATTTCATCTGAAAAGCTTTCATTTTGATAGCAAACGGCTGCATGAAATTAAAAACATAATTCTTCTCTTGCAGTGTAAATAAAATGTTTTGCGCTTTGACCACAAATTTGGAATGAATACGAAAACTATCTTTTAATTGATTCAAATATTGTGATACCTCTATTTTATTATCGTCATCTTCTTCTTCTTCTTCTTTTTAGCATAATAGTTTTCAGTTTGATATATATATCTAAAGAGTAAAAAATATAAATATAAATTATATTTTAAAATTTCATTCAATAGGTTAAACCGTTGAATTAAGATAATTTACTGACATAATATGACATCGTAATACTAAAAAAAAAAAACTAAAAGTTTTAGACTATTTACTATTCAAAAATTATTTTTTAAAATAAAATAATTAAAATAATATTTTAAGAGAAGTATTATTTTTTATACTAATATTATTGATTATATATATATATTTGTTAATTTTTATATTAATTACTGATTATTTTTGCAATGCTATTTTATATATATAAAATATTAAGATATTTTTTTAATCTTTTGCTTAAGTATTCTATTTAGATTATTGTAAGTTCTTATTTAAAAATTAATATATAAAAAATAACAAATTGTGTTTTTTAACTATTTTTTTTTAAAAAAACATAAGAGATAATAAATTATAAAATTAAATGATTTTTTTTTTAATTTTTTACCTTTGATTCAATATAATACATAATTCAATATAATACATAAGAGAACAATACGCTACGCAGGTTTGGAGATATAACTCCATAGAGGCAAGATGAGGTACAGATACTAAAGATAAATTTACCAGAGACAATAGACAAAACAAATAGGTCAATGAGCACCCAAAATCATTTATCCGATTTTATCCTTCCATGTCCTCATCCATAACAAACAAAACAAAACAAAACATTTTCTAATCACACTTTCAAATTTTCGCATATCTCAAGATCCAATATTAACTACAATATACTAACTAGTATATAAACTATATACAGACAAGTCACCCCTCAAAAAAAAAAAAAAAAAAAAAAATCAATATCACCACCAATTGTTTGGTCCTCTTTCCCTCCCCCTATTCAGCTTCCAAGACTCCATACCGTTTCCTAAGCCTCTCCATCTATCCATCCCCAAAAAAGTCCATCAAGCCAAGTGGACTAAAAGACACAAGAAGGGCCTCCGGGCAGTAAGCGTTTGACCAAAATCCAGCGCTGGGTGCTATTTCACCACAGTTGCTTGATATTGTTAGCAACGTTCTAAGTTTTGGTCTTCGTATGTTCTTCAATGACAAACTATAGAAGAGACTGACAGGGGGTAAGAGAATGTATTGGCATATTCAAAGGTGAGAGTGCGACCAGTTACCAAAGGCTTTCCATCGTTCACAAGGCAGTCATTGTAGCGAAGGCGCTTGAATATCTTGGGGTCGATGAGGCGAGCAGAGCTGAACCAGCCACAGCTGAGGTGAATTCTGGAGATGTCACAACCAGTGGCACACATGTTCATGATCTGAACAGTGTAAGTAGGTATGCCATTGGCAAGAGGGGCAGTGGGCCCCTGACTTATCACAATATCAGCCTTCGTACACTTCTCTCCTATCCTGTTAGGTTCCTCCATTGCCATTGCTGCGTAAAGCAGATGCAAACAAGAAAAAGGCAACTTTTTTATTAAATCCCATGATAGTGAAAGCTAATGCTTTCCTTTTTTCCCCCAAAAAAAAATTAAAAAAAAAAAAAAGTAATTACACACTTGCCAGCCTCATTTAAACGTAATGTGAACACAACCAACTGACCCACCGATAAAGGAATCGTCAACAGACAAAAATCACTTTTTGGAGGTGAATCACAGGAATTATATAGGAAAAAGGAACAGACAAAATTAACTCAAAAGGCCAGATTAGGGCAGGGTGCATGATTCCTCCCTTTATTCAAAGTTCAATGTTTCCCCTTACCCATATCCATCCTCTTAACACCGAAATTGGAAATTCATCACTCTCTCCTCTTCCTGATAAACATCAAAACACTTTAACCATGCAAAATCAGGAGAAATGGACACATCCCAAAACAATTTGCTGAGGCACTGGTCACGAACTTTCAACACAAGGACTGAGAAAAGGTGACAGAAACATGGGAGGGATTCTAGGTCCCATCAAGAAGATACTCTCTATACTGGTTGCCATTTACTGCTGCTGCAACCCAATTGTGGAAGAAGGGTGGTAGTGTAGGGGACTACAATTTGCCAGCGGTGCACGTTAGCATGAGACATAACAAAAAGAACACAGACGTCCACCTCTGACAAACATATCGTACGCACATCTGAATAATGTGAATCATTACTGCTGGCAAAATAAAAGTTGTTCCACTCGTAAACAAATGGGCATCAGATACTGATGTTTTCAGAACCGACCCCTCAAAACATTCAAGAACAACAACACCCAAAACCATAAAAAACCCACATGTATATCATCCTTCCACAGCATAACACATTCTTTTGGTCCCCATTTATTTCATTTCACAAAAAAAAAAAAAAAAGAACTAAAAGCCCAGCAAAATCCACAATTTTTATTTTTTGTTAAAAAAAAAGAGCAAAACCCCTATTAAATTCGCAATAAAAAAACAAGAAAAATATCGCAAGTTATGAATCCTTACAGCGAACAAGTAGCTTGCGATGTGGAGCAGAGACCGTGTAGTTCCCTTCCTCGCGAAGAAATACGTGTCTCAAACCCATTAATCCTCCTTCATTTTTACCCAAACCTGGAAATTATTTTTAAAAAAATCACAAACAAAAAGAAATAATTAATTAGAAAGAGCGAGACAGATGAGATCGATCAGGTATTTTGGATTTTATGACTAAAATAAAATAATGAAGATAAAAACAAAAGGAACAAACATAGAGAACCCCTCATGTCCCAGAAAGAGAGGTCTCCAATCCACTAAAACAGATTAAAAGCAAACCAAAACCGACCACGTCAATAATAAAAAAAGAAAACATTAATCCTTTCCGTCGAAATGAAAAATCAAAGACGAACCTGTGAGAAATGAAAACGTGGATAGTAGTATAGCGAGCAAGAGGAGCATCACCAAAACGACGCCGATTATCTTCGAAACCACAGTTCTCATCGTCGAAGAAGAACTCTTTGAAACTCAGGAAAAAAAATGGGAACCAAAAGGTTCTATTCTCTTTTCTTCTTACTCTTCTTCAAACTCTCAAAGAAAAGGTGTCGCCAAAAAGTCAATGACTAGGATGATAACAACAACTCGAAACTCAGGGAAAGACAAACGACTGAGTCTGACTCGGAGAGAGCCTTGGTTTTGATAAGATGTTTCTCTTTCACTCTGAAATCTGCATCAAAGAACGAGAGAGAGATTATTTATAGTCCTAGATATATATTTCACATCAAAGAAGAACCGTCAGATGAAAAAGAAACAAATGGGTCAGATTTGACTTTCAAAACACAGAAAAGAAACAGCTACGACTACTACTGCTACTACTTTCCCTACCTATAAAACCTCTCTAGGTCTCAGTCTCACGAGGGAGGGAGAGAGAAAACGCTTTTCAAAATAAGACTAAACGACGGCGACTTGGACCAGAGCTGAAAACAAAATAAACAAAGCACAGAAAAGGAAAAACAAAATTGCAAGAGTTTTCAAAAGAGGAAGTTGTTGAAGGTAGAGAAAGGTGTTTGGTTGTGATAGAAAAGGAAAACGTGTATTTTCCAGGAAAATGAAAAAAAAAAACAAAAAACAAAGCAATGTCAGCTACTGCTGCAAACAACGGAATTTACTGCGCTATAACAGTGTAGACAAAACGCAGAGAAAGCAAGAGCTTTAAGAGACAAAAAAACTGCAGAGACAGGTAGAAAGAGGATCGTTAAAGCCAGAAATGACAAAACACCAGAATCCTCTAAACATTGCATTTATAACTTGTACTCTTTAAATACACCGTATGCAATACGTATATCCATACAAATGTGTGTGTGTGTGTGTGTGTGGTGTACGTAGAGTTCAGTGGTTCTTCCTTCTTCACCTCTGAGGGAGAGAGAAAAAGATACGTAGCACAATCAACACCGAAACGCGTGCGCTTTGTTGATGGCAGATAAAGAGAGAAATTAGGGTTTTATTTATGGCTCGATTTTAGAGGAAAGAGTAAATGTTGTGTGGGTTTGTTGTCCTGCTGTTTTAACAAAGGGTTAAAGCGTGCTGCCTTGGTTTTTTAACTCTGGTTAAAAAGTGCACGTGGCTGTGTTAAGGGTGTTAATGATGGTGGTGTTGATTGATTAACTAAGCGTGGATAAAAGGAAAGGGACAAAGAACAACAGTGCTCGTGTGGTGTATAGTTAAGAAAAACTAATTATGATCCCTAATAATGGATAGGTCTGTTCATTCTGTCTATGACACTTGGTCATGTGGTTACCTTTTTTGTTTCAAAAAATGGGAATTTTGGGACTTTTGTTTGGTTCGAAGAATGGGTTTTGCATGGACCAGGAGTTGGGGTAAAATTGGTTTTGTCAAAACGAAGGAAAGAGAGAAAATATGGTAAAAAAAATGTACTGAGATTGAAGATAGTTGCGATCAAATGTTCCTTTTGATTGGAAGGGTTCATTTTGTGTTTGATATTATGATTGCTTTCTTAGAAAGTTTCTCATTGTCTAAGTGGAGCATTTACTCACTTGTTATGCAAATTGACGTAACAATAAATCCAATTATAGATATACATAAAAAAAAGGACATAATAATAAATGAAGCTCAAACGATGGAGGTCTTGTATTTTTGTGGGTATTCTTTGATAGCGACTAGATGCAGTTATTGGGTCGAGATGCTTGGAGGGGGTCCAGGCGTCAAGAAGAATATACTGATTGACACGTATAGCCTTTTTGTCATTGACCCAACCCCAAGGTCTTAGTCCTAACGCATCAAGGTTCGACAATGGAGGAAAAAGAACGGAGAAATGGTTAGACAAGGCTTTGGTAAGGAAACATTTAGAATGTGCATGTTTTGAGAATTGGTACCAGGATTTTGCCTTACGCCTATACTAAAATATCGGTGTTATGACTACTTCCGCGGAAAGACATCATGTTAAAATGGTAATGCTTGTGTTAGCTTATAAGGAATTAATTTGGTTAAATTTAAAAATTTTAATGTTGAGATTTTAGGTTTATAATTTATAATTGATATTCTAAGGAGATTTAGAGAAATAGAGATGAAATTCCCCTAGAGAATCCACTTTCATAAAGATGAATTGAATAAGATTTAAAGGAGAGAGTAGAAAATGGTGGAGGGTTAAAAGAATAATGGTGGAGTTGATTGATTAAGCATTGATAAAAGGGAAGAGACGACAGCATTCTCCGGGTGGCTAAATGGTTAGAAGAATCTAACGATGATGGTTGATTAATAATAGACAGGCTGATCATTTTTTTATTTGCGGTTGCCATTTGAAATCGGAGTAAAGTTGGTTTTGTCAGCAATAACCATATTTTCAATCCATTTTCATATTAAAAACTTAGTATATTATATACTAAAATATTAATTTAAATGAAACAAGCTTTATTTGTTTAAATAAATAATATTAATTTTGACATTCCGTATGTACAAAAAGCTTTTTAGATAAATATATATATATTTTTTTGTATATTAGACCAAACGATGAGAGATTAATCTAAATATTTGAATCGATATATTTTGAAAAGTAAAAAAAAATACAATATTCTAGTGTATTATAAATAAAAAGAAAATTCTTTATAAGATTTAAAAGTTAAATACTAAAGAAACATATAATTTTTAGCAATCAAGTTAGGTCTCCAAAAGTAAAGATAGTTTTATTACCTACGTGGTATATATATATATATATATATATATATGTGGTCCTGAAAATGAAATCAAATGTTTAGAAGAAGATAATTGAATGAGCATAAGAGAAATGGTTTGGCTGGATAGGTTAATTTGGCGTTTGATAGCTTTCTCGGAAAGTATCTCGTTGTCTAGAAGTGGCGGCTATTCTATATAGTTAATTGAAATGATAAATGAAGCTCAAAAGATGGGTCTTGTCCTTTTGGGTATTCATGATGGTGACCAGAGAAGCTAATGAGTGGGATTGCTTGGAGCCGTTGATTCTTGGAATGGTCCAAGCATCCCAAAAAGGTTAGGCATCAGCTATTTTTTTATTTTTTATTTAATGATAAAAAATACATTTACATCAATTATTGAGATTAAATTATATTTTCAGACGAGGATCGTCTGTAGCATGTTACATCATGACATTTAATATAACTTTGTTTTATAATAATTTTTTTTATGTCCAAATAAATTGTCTCGATGATTAATGCTAATTTTAATATTGAGATTATAGGTTTAAATTTTACAATTAATTTACGAAGTTTTAGAAAATCATTAACGGAATCCCCCTTAAACCTCATTTTTATACGAGTGCAACAATAGTATTTTCGACTCATTTTAGCGGAATAATGAATAATCGCGCTTAACTTCTACTAAATAAAAAATATATATATTATAAATATTCTAAAACACAAAGATGTCTTACTGTTCACGTTCATTGTTTTTTTACTGTTTAATGAATAATGTTTTTTTGATTGGTTTTTTTTTTTTTTAAATACTTTACTATTAACTTTTTTTCCCCTTTGTCACCTTTTTTCAGCTTCTTACAAGTAAGTTTTTTTTTTCCAAGTGGTTTGGTTTCACTATTTTTGTAGCAAGTTTTTTTTTAGTTTATTTTCACTATAAATGTTTTTTCTCCCTTTGCTTTTTTTTTTTTTACATCAATTTAGGTTCTTTTTTATTTGATTTTTAAAAATTTTCACGTTTATTTTATTTTAAAATAAAAATTTTAACCCCTAACTAATGCACTACATATCATTTTTTTCTTTGCTTTTTTTTCATCAATTTATGTTCTTTTTTTTAATTTAATTAGGTGTTAAAATTTTAAAAAATCAATCGTTATTTTTTTTTATATACAAACTAGCTATTATATAATATATATATATATATTTTACTTAAGTGTTCTTTTTATAATTTTCATAAATTTATGTTTTTTTAATTAAGTGTTCTATTTATCCGTAGCATTGAGCGAGATAATTTCAAAAATTAATCTTCTTATCAATATTAAATAAGAATTTTTTCTTATTTGTTAATTTTTGTAAAAGTCTATCTAATCATTATAACTTTATTTTTTAGAATATAATATTATTTTTTTAATTTTTAATTAATATTTTAGTTAAAATTATTATATTTTTTATTTTAAAATAATTTCATAAAGGAGAATGATTTATGTTTTTTTAAATAGAAAATTTATTTAAAAAATTACAAAATTAAGTGAATAAAAAATTATAATTAAAAATTTTTAAATAATTTTTTTATCAAACTCGTTGCGGGAAAGTGACTAGTAATTGCTATTCCAAGATTCGTTGAACCAAAATTTGAGCATATTTTATCCCTGCCACAGCTAGAGCTAGGTCTGCCTTGGAGGATGCAAGTAAGGCACTCTTTTGGGTAGTATCCAATTACTGTACGTGGCTCTATAGAGTACAGTCACGCCGAAAAAACACTAGTTATATTGGCATTTTTATTGTTATCCCTATAATTCAATTCATTTTTTCTTTTATCATAATAAAACAAAAACAAAAACATAGATGACATGACACTTCGAATCATGGTCAAAATTTAACTTTTCAATACATCACCGACTTATATTACAAGTACGTCCACGACCTGCTGTCTCCCATCATATAATTACTAATTAATTTTGCGGAAAAATAATTCCATATATTTTTTATATATTTATCCGAGAGGAAATGAGTTAATTCCCCCACATCAATCCAGCACATAAAGAAAGACAAATGGAGATATATGCCTTGTTGCTGTATCTCAAGTGATTTGTATTTTTTGTAGTGAAAAATAATCACTGATCAACTCCCCTCGATTTTCCCCTTTCAATTTCTCTAAAGTGCAAACAAAGGAGGCAGTAAAAATTTAGGGGGAAAAGAAAAGGACATGATTCTGGAACTTTGGAGGGCGAAAACAATGGTATAGAAAACAAACAATTCGGTACTTTTGACTTAAATAAGCTAATTTCAAACTCATTGTAATATTCATTTCGACAAATAACA